AAATTAATTCTCTCTCTCCATCCCCCTCCATGCATCCCTCCCTATCATTCTCCATGCATCCCTCCCTATCATTCTTTCTCTCTCCATCTCCCTCTTTCAATATTTCTCTCTCACTATCTCCCTTCCTCTCTCTCATCCTAGTTTGTATATATCATGTGATTTAGACAACTACATTTAAAGTAAAAAGTGTTTCGTATATTAAAAAATAGGAACATAAAAACGACGAAGTAATATATATTTAATATCACGTACCTGGAAGGTTTAAATCTCTCTCCCATTTCTCTTTCTCTTTATTTCTCTCTCACACAGACTCTCTCTCTCTCCATCTATATGCCCCTGAAAGCATTTACATGTCCCTGAAAACATTAACTCAATTTCTCTATCTCCTTCTTTCTCTAAATTCAGCAGCCTCTTCCCCTTCTTATTCTTCAACATTTTTGTCTTATCATAATTTTTCTTATTATGATTTTTTTTTCTTTTTTTTTCGGTCTTCTTCTTCGTCTTTTCAGTCTTCCTTGTCATTGACTTCAACTGGGATTATTCCTTATCTTTTCTTTTTTCTTCTTCTTTATCGTCTTTAACTTTTATTTCATTTCCTCTTCGGATTTGTCTTTTTTTTCTTCTTTCTCTTCTGTTTTGGTCTACCCTTCTTACTCTTAATCTTATGGTTTAGTTTTTCCTTGTATTTTCCTTATTCTCTAGCTTTTTCTGGTTTTTATTCGTCTTCTTGTTCATTCTCCAGTTTTATGTCCTTTGTCTTCTTTTTCTGCCCCAAATTCTTCATCTTCTTCTTCCTCAGATTTTCCTTCTTCTTCCTCATATTTTCGTTCTTCTTCTTCATCGTCTTTGACTTGTACTTTTTTTTTTTTATTTCTCTTATATATCTTTCGATTTTATTATTTCTCACCATTTTATTTCATCTTCATCATCGTCTTTGTATTCTCTCAATTTTTCTTTTTCTTCTTTTTTTTTGATATGTATTAGCCTTATTTATTCTCTACTTTTTGCCAACGTTCATTATCATTTATATGTCGTAGGTTATTTTCTCTCTCATAAGCGTGGGCACGATGGTATTAGTGCATTGGTAAACAACCTCTTTGGTAGCTTTTATCTCTCCTTCTAGCCGGTTCTTACCTATACTTACATGTACCTGAAGACTTCAAATTTTGTCAACCATATTAATCAGATATCAAAAACATAGAAGGGACAAACTAACGGTGATAAAATACTGATCAATTACATGTTCTTGAAGGCTTTAAATCTCTCTCAAATGGTGATAAATGCTGATCAATTTCATGACCCTGAAGGCTTTGACTCTCGCAACCACAGGCGCAAAACCATTGTATCATAGTGTAGATAAACAATCCATTTCCAAAAAATTAGGGCACATAAGATGAAGTTCAGTTGAGGCAGACGAATTAGTTTCTAAAGTTTTTTTTATCCCAGTTCGTATATTTTTTTTCGTCTGCTTCATCTATTGCTTCATCTATTGTTTCGTGCTTCATCTATTTTTTTAGAACGGCACATGATTAGTTTCTAAAGTTTTTTTTTATCCCAGTTCGTACATTAGGGCAAAAAATTAGGGCACATAATTTTTGCTTAATTTAGGAAAGTAAGCTATCTAGTCCAAGAGGATATCAACTACTCTTACCATCAAAACAAGTCATATAAAGATTACTTCAAGATTGGTCTCAGGCATCTACATATGGTCATAATAAATTTGAATATTTATGCTGAATGATTCAACAAATCACATGAACAAAATGGATTTGCTTTAATCAAGGAGAGACTTCACTTAGACATGGATATGGAAAGGATCCTTTTTCAGCAGCGCAGGCATTCTTAAATGATTGTTTCTTTTCCTACACAATAAGAGAGTCAAAGATCATAGAGAGACAGTAAGGAATTTCACAATACCAACAAAACATAATGGTACCGATTACCATATTTATGTTTTGTTCAAAGTTTCAAAACTATGAACAAAACTCAAACTCTTCCATAACATTTTTTTTTTTTTACCACAACTCTTCCATAACATATCTCTCTAAATTCATACCAAAAGTTTTAGGCACATGTCAACATGAGAAAAGGGAGCCTGATGATGAAGAACAAACCACACAACAAGAGAATCCCATACCGCTGAAAATCGAAACTTTAACATTTTCTCAAAGTACTTGAAACTGTTTCCAACACCTACTCAAACACTCGACTTCTTTATTAATGACTAAAATGATTACATATCAGAAAAAATTGAAACTTAAATGAAAAAAACTAAAGAACTACCTTTGCATTCCCGAGAGCACACAAATCTTATTCTAAGTTAAGGTCGTTACTGTCCTTCTGGTTATATTGCAAGTCTCTGCAACGCAATTTGAAGTTCTTGCTCGGAGTGGACAGCACATCTAACCACAAGCGTTTTACTGCCAAACTTAATCCCGTTTAGAGCACCACATGCAATATCTGTTACTGAAGGATCTTGGTAAACACATAATCCATATCCAGCATGAATTTCCAGTTGCTTTGTCTATTAGCAAACAGAAAACTAAGGGTCCAAAAGACTCCATGACATCTGCGGTATGTTCCTGTGTATAGCAACGTGGAAACCCACTAAAAACAATGCCGTTCGGATCCTCAAAAAAAGCAGTAGGCCTCCAAGACATTCTTTTCTTGTCTTTGTGCGTCACGATTAGTCTCATCTACTGACAAAAATCAAGAGAAGATAGGAGAAGGGGTTTAAAAGCGTTTTCATTTAATACAACTCGTGATCAGTGTTCTTTACAACTTTACAAGCAAACAGCTCTATTTATAATAACATAACACCGACACACAAAAGAAAAAAGGAAAAAGCATCTAAAAAGCCTAATCCTAAATGGTAAATAAGTGCATTCTTACTAAGATAAGGATTAAAGTCATGTTGTGATAATTAGGGTTATTGTCTAAATCATAGAGGTTTATGATCTGTCGTTTGTTGTTGGATATCAACAATTACCTTACCATTCACCACATAACGTTAATGGCTTAATGCCAAAATTTGATGAAAAGTAATATTTTAAAATTTTGGCAAAAAACAATATTAACTAGAGAGAGAAGTGAATTAATTCTGTCATTAATTCTGTAAAAGAATGTGTTACATATATATATACAACCGGTTAAGTAAAGGGAAGCTTAACCATAGTAAACTAGCTATATACATATATGTTAATACGCCCCCCTTCAAGCCGAATCATCACAAGGTGTATAGAGGCTTGAAAGTGAAAGACGATTGAGGAGTGAATGAAATGGTCCTGGATGAAGAGGCTTTGTTAGAATATCTGCAAGCTGATTCGTTGTAGAAACATGTATAAGCTTCAAGAAACCATTCTTCACTTCATCTCTAGTCGTGTGACAATCCACTTCCACATGTTTCGTCCGTTCATGGAAGACTGGATTGTTGGCTATATGCATTGCTGACTTACTATCACAAAACAGCTTGGTCTGTGTAGAGATAGGCACATGAAGATCGGTTAACAGCTGATATAACCATTTTAGTTCCCCTGTAGCAACGGCCAAACCACGATATTCAGCTTCAGTACTACTCCGAGCCACTGTTTCTTGTTTCTTGGACTTCCATGTAATGAGGGACGTGCCAAGGAAAACACAAAGACCAGTGACTGAACGTCTTGTATCCGGGCAAGTAGCCCAATCAGCATCTGCAAAACCGTTTAGACACAGGTCCGTGGAAGCTGAGTAAAACAGACCCTGTCCAGGATTAGTCTTTAAGTAACGCAGTATGTTGTACGCAGCCTGGAGATGCATATCAGTAGGACAAGAGAGAAATTGGCTGAGACGATGAACCGCAAAAGTGATATCCGGTCTAGTGATGCATAGGTATTGAAGTCTCCCAATCAATTCCCTGAAAGGTTTAGCATCATCTAGACGAGTACCAGTTTCTCTACTAAGGGATACCTTTGGATCCATGGGTACAGATCGAGGCTTACATCCCAGTAAACCAGTGTCTTCAAGAAGATTTAGACAATACTTTCTCTGAGAGACTGATATACCCGTAGAATTCCTAGCTATTTCCAGACCTAAAAAGAATCTAGCTGGGCCTAAATCCTTAGTCTTAAAATGCTTCGTCAATTTCAACTTAACAGATGCTACAGCAGAATCATCATTGCTAGCTATGAGGATATCATCGACATAGATTAAGAGTGCTATGAAAGATGTACCTCGTAGTTTCACAAGAAGGGATGTATTTGGTATGACTGTTCAAAACCATCATCTGTTAAAACCTTAGAAAGACATTTATACCATTGGCGCGAGGCTTGTTTTAAGCCATATATGGACTTGTGTAATCGACAGACTGCATTCGGAGGAAGAGTCCCTGAGGCTGGTGTGTACCCTTGAGGTAGACTCATAAAAATTTCTTCCTCAAGGTCATTATGCAGAAATGCATTAGTGATGTCCATCTGAGTGAGACTCCAGTCTTGTCGTGCCGCGAGACCAAGAATGAGTTTGACACTCGCTAAACGAGCGACAGGTGAGAATGTGTCGAAGTAGTCGATACCTTCCTGTTGAGTAAAGCCTTTCGCAACAAGACGGGCCTTATATCTCTCAATCGTACCATCAGCATGGTATTTTATAGTGAAGACCCACTTACACCCGACAACATTCTTTCCAGGAGGCAGGCTTTCAACACTCCAAGTTCTATTTATCTCCATTGCTTGTAACTCCAGATTACAAGCATCTGTCCATTCTTTAGAAGCCATCGCCTGTTTAAAATTTTTAGGCTCTATATCCAAAGAGAATGAGAGAACAATGGACTGATATAGGGGGTTTAAGTTTGAGTAAGAGAGGACTGAAGAGATAGGATATGGTGTCGTTAAAACCTTTGTAGAAGGAAAGGAGTAGAAGTTTGGGTGAGAGAGCAATGGTAATTAGACAAGTAACTTGGTACCTTTGTTTGACGTTTTGGTCGAGCATTAGGTAGTGAAATGATGTCAGTCTCTGTAGTAACACGATTAGAGGTTGGTTCCTTGAGTTGCTAGAGAGAGATGTGATGCAGATGATGCATGAGGTGGAATAATGGGTGGTGAACCAATATGATGTGTAACAGATGTATCAGATGATGCATGAGGAGTAGAAACAATGTTATCCAATGCGGCAGGAACTGGTAACGGTAAGATGGTATCATGAAATATATTTTCAGAATTGACCTCTGTAGATGCAAAAGGGAATATATTTTCATGAAAAATCACATTCTGAGACACAGATATCAAATTGTTGTCCAGATGCAAGACTTTATATCCCTTATAACCTGTAGAATAACCTAAGAATACACACTTATCTGCTCGTGCACTAAACTTGTTCCTATCCTTTTGCAATGTGGAAACATAACACAAACACCCAAACGAACGCAAGAAAGAATAGTCAGGAACCTTTTTGAGCAATGTTTCATAAGGTGATTTATTTTGTAGAACAAGTGATGGCAAACGGTTGATTAAGAACACAGCAGTCAAAATGCATGAACTCCAGTAAACAAGAGGTATTTTGGACTGAAACATAAGTGATCTAGCAACGTTTAACAAGTGTTGATGCTTGCGTTCAACTACCGAGTTCTGTTGAGGGGTATATGCACAAGAAAACTGGTGAACAAAACCATGATGACGAACTAAATCATGAAAAGCAAGTTCAGGAGCATTATCTGTTCGTATGGCTTTCACAACAGCATTGTATTGAGTACGAATATGAGTAAGAAAAGTTGAGAATTTCTGAGAAACTTCACTTTTGTATTTCATTAAAAAAATCCAAGTGACACGAGTACAATCATCAACTATCGTTAAGAAGTATTTAAAACCTTCAACAGACTCTGTAGAAAATGGACCCCAAACATCGAGATGAAGTAAATCAAAAGGAGAACTAGACAAATGATTATGTGACTCAAAAGGTAATCTTTTTTGTTTAGCCAAAGGACATACATGACAATGTGACTCAGAAGACTTACTATGTTTATAAGCAGGTAAGAGACTAGACAAATGTGCTAACTTTTCAGATGACGGGTGGCCAAGCCGTTGATGCCAAAGATGTCCATCAAGAACCAAAGAAGCAGTGAATAACGGAGACGATTCAGGACTGTCAAGCTGTAAAATGTATAGATTGTGAATAAGATTTCCTTTACCAATCATCAAGCCCTGAATAGACTCCTGAATGAAACAAGAATCAACATAAAAATGTGCAGAACAATGATCATGTTGGAGTAAACTGCTAACGGATAAGAGATTGAACTTGAATGAGGGAACATGTAAAACGTTATGCAGTACTAATGATGATGACAAATGTATTGTGCCTGTGTGTGTAATCTCTTCTCTAGAACCATTTGGTAATGATACGGTTACTCCAGAAACTATCACAATTTCACTAAATAATGCCAAATCAAAACATACATGACAAGTGGCACCGCTGTCAACTATCCAAGAACCAGGAGGTAAAGTTTTATGAAGTGTGGATAGGCATTTATGTTGAAATGTCAGTCTATCATTCTCAAATCTCAATGAACTAGAGGGAAAAAGAATGATACCAGACGATGACTGAGCTGCCATCACACCATGTTCGGTAATGCTTGCAGTTGTTGTTGTATTTGATGAATGACTCTCTGGCTTCTCTGTAACATTGACATGAGCACTCAGCTGTTGTATGAGAGACTGAACCTGATCCGTGTTCATATTGCTGAAGTCCAGATTCATAGCCTGTGAAGGCGGCTGTGGTACATATGGATATGAGTCATTCATCACGTTGGCCACAACTTGTGGTCGTTGACTATCAAACTTTCCTCGAGGTTGAAAATTGTTGGGAAATTGTCCTCTTGGTTGAAACTGATTCTGAGTTGGAGTTAGAGCTCGTTGGCCTTGGCTTTTGTAACCAGGTATGTAGCCAGGAGGATACCCATGTAACTTGAAACATTTCTGAACAATATGCCCTGTCTGTCCACAATGAGTACAAACAGGTCTCGCTTTTGGCCTATAACCATTTTGAATAGCATATGCAGCATAATCCAATTGTTCAGAAGTTTCCTGTGAGAACTGAGGACCAGAACTCTGGAAAACAACATTATCAGGCTTCGATGGTTTCATCATCTTCTGCCTTTCATCTTGTGCCACCATGTTGTAAGCATCTTCAATGGATGGTATTGGTTTGAGAACCAGGATATGACGACGAATGGACTCATAAGATTCATTAAGTCCCATCAAGAACTTTGTAACTCTGCTTCGTTGCTGCAGTTCTTCCCATAGAGTTGCTGCATTACACTCACACCTTCCACAAGTGCAAACCGGAATCTCAACATAATTTCTATATTCTTCCCATAGAGTCACCAATTCAGTGTAATACGAGCTAACATCCATAGAACCTTGTTGGATATTGCTAAGCCTTTGTTCAATCTCAAAGATTCTAGGAGCATCATCTTGCTTGAATCGAGAAGAGAGATTTTTCCAAATACCTGAAGTTGTAGAGATGAACAAAAGGCTTTGACCAATCTTCTTAGAGACAGAATTCATGAGCCATTTGGCTACCATATCATTGCAACGGGACCAAGATCCCGAATCGCGATGTCCATCTGCTGGTTTCGGAATAGTACCATCAATGAATCCCAGTTTGTTTCGAACATTGAGCGCCATTTTTACGGATCGCCTCCAGGAATGAAAATCGGCACCATTAGTAAGTCGATCTGATACAAGAACGAGTCCGGCATGATCTGAGCTATGAAGATAATACGGATTTTCATATTGATCAGTATTATGTAGAGATTCACCGGATTGATTCGGATGTAAAGATCCATTGGATTGATTTGGATGTGAAGCCATCGCACTGTGCGAGGAATCAAGAAAATGAACGATTCGATGTGAAACGAACACGAAGAAGATGTAAGTACTGAGAATGAAGAAGATCAGTAGCAAACTAGGTCAAACAAAGAAGGAAAGAAGAGATACAACGATCAATGTAATCGCTGCTTGAAGATTCATGAATAAGATGAAAATGATATTCGCGAAAAAGATTGAGTACAAATCATTCAGGGAAGCACTCATCGGAGACGAATTTGATCTCAATCGAAGAATTCTAAGCTCAAATGAAGATGAAATCAAGCTTCGAAACGAAAAATCTCGACGAAGAAGACGACAAATTCTGTTAAGCGGAAGAGAGAGAAAATGCACTGCTCTGATACCATATTAACTAGAGAGAGAAGTGAATTAATTCTGTCATTAATTCTGTAAAAGAGTGTGTTACATATATATATACAACCGGTTAAGTAAAGGAAAGCTTAACCATAGTAAACTAGCTATATACATATATGTTAATAAACAATATTTTAAAATTAAAATTAACTATGCGACAACTAACATCGCTCAGAATTTGTTAAACGGTTTAAATCTGCTGCCATGCTAAAAAAATAGTGAATATGTTTCTATTATGAAGTTTCCTGCTAGCAAAACTGAAATCCACAAAATGTTATATTAATAGCAACAAAAACCTGTATATATGCGCCATGCACTGGCATTCTTTATTTAGAAGCAACTCCTTAAGTATAAATGAGAAAACACATGTTGATCATTGCTCATTCAATTTAAAAAATATATACAGAAAAAGCAGAAAGAAAAATCAAATTAAACTTAAAAAAAAAAAAAACAATGGCTGCATACAAGAAGAGCCTTACTGTTCTTTTATTTGTAACGATTATACTATCAATGTTTTGTGGAAACGGAGAAGCAGGAAAATGGTTAGGTTATGGAGCTATGGGAAAAGACAAAAACCCGGCATGTGGCTCTAAAAACCCAAGTGAATGTATTAAAAATCCGGTTAACCATTACCATAGTGGCTGTGAGGGTTTTGAACATTGTCGTCATGTACCGCCTCGTGTATAAATATTTATGATCGATTCAAAAGACAATGTAATTTTATCATCGATTCAAAAGTGTTATTTTTTATTTATTTATGAAACTATAAACTTATGTGTTATTATGTATTACTGAAACATTTTGTAAGTGGTTATCTTTATTGCTTTAATAAAAATAAATAATCTGTATTTTGACATTTCGTTTTTGGAATCCGAATTTGTTGGAATTATTTGGTTAACTTATATATAAAATACTAAATTGTTGAAATCAAAGATACTCTTCCATCAGTTATTTGTGCTTTCTTGAATCTTACTTCTCATGTCTGTCAAGGGAAGCACAATGGTACGCCCAAGTCCAAATGGATATCCACTACTCTTACCATCCAAACAAGTCCTATAAATTTTACTTCAAAATTGGTCTCAGGCTACCACTTGGTCATAATAAATTTGAATACATCTGCTGAATGTTTCAACAAATCATATGAACACAATGGGTTTGCTTTAATCAAGTAGAGACTTCACCTACCTGTCCTCTCTTACAGTTGAAAATGGGTTTCCCCTTAGACATGAATATGGAAAGGATCCTTTTTCACCAGCAAATGCAGTCTCATAAATGATTGTTTCTCTTCCTACACAATAAGAAAGCCAAAGACCACAGAGACACAGTAAGGAATTTCACAATACCAACAAAATATAAGGTATTGATTACCATATTTATGTTTTGTTCAAAGTTTCAAAACTATGAACAACACTCAAAATATTCCATAACAGTTTAGGCTTATGTTAACATGAGAAAAAGGAGTTTGATGATGAAGAACAAACCACACTACAATAAAATTACCTTAAGTGAATTTCCTATACCGCTGAATATCGAAACTCTAACATCTGTCTAAGTACTTGAAACCGTTTCCAACACTTAGTCAAACATTCGAATTCTTTATTAATGACTAAAAATTACATATCAGGAAAATATTCAAACTTAATTGAAAAATAAAAAACCACCTTTGTCCTCCCGAGAGGTTACAAATCTTATTCCGGGTTATATCGCAAGCCTCTGCAAAGCAATTTGAAGTTCTTGCTCGGAATCGACGGCACGCCTAACCGCAAGCGTTTTATCACCAGTCTTAATCCCGTTTTGAGCAGCACATGCAATATCTGTTACTGAAGGATCTTGGTAAACACATAATGCATATCCCTTGGAGTTTCCTGTTTCTCTTTCTTTAACCAAGTTGAATCCTCTTAGGGGCCCAAAAGACTCCAAGAGATCCATGATATCTGCCTCTGTTAAGTAACAAGGAAGCTCACCAACAAAAACACAGTGCTCTAAAACCTCAAGTTGCTCCGTTTTAGGTCGATTCCCAAGATTAACCGTACGACTTACCGCAAGCGTGTTAACGCTATCGCCAAACTTTGCCCCGTTTAGAGCAGCACATGCAATATCTGTTACTGAAGGATCTTGATAAACACATAATCCATATCCAGTTGGGTTTCCAGTTTCACTGTCTATTCGCAAACAGAAAGCTTTTAAGGGTCCAAAAGACTCCATGACATCTGCGATATGTTCCTCTGTATAGCAACGTGGAAACCCACTAAAAACAATGCCGCTCGGATCCTCAAAAAAACCAGTAGGTCTCCAAGACATTCTTCTCTTTTCTTTGTGCCTCCTCTATTAACAAAAAAAAAACAAGAGAAGAGAGGAATAGGGTTTTAAAAGCGTTTTTACTTAATCAAACAAGTCGTAAATTTTCTTTAGAAGAAAACAGCTCTATTTATAATAACATAGAACCGACACACAAAAGAAAAAAAGGAAAAAACATCCAAAAAGCCTAATTCTAAATGGATTGTGATAAGGGTTATTGTCTAAATCAGAGAGGTTTAAGATATGTCGTTTGTTGTTGGATATCAACTACCTTACCATCAAAACAAGTCCTACAAAATTTTATTTTACGATCAAAAGAATGAAAACTCAGGCTACCACAAGTTATGTGCTCCTCTTCATTTTATCAAATCCTATAACTGGAAGCCCTAATTTTAACTTTTCTCCAGATCATAAGACATCATCTCATCAAGAGCCTCACACTGACCGCACCTTCGAATATAAGCAACAAAGGTTGCTAAAAGGGTTCTGCAGCTTTGGGCCTTCGTAACCTCGTCTTCAATGGAAGGGAACCTAGCTGCAGTGCTCCCAAGACCTATATTGACTAGAGACTGCCTAACGGTATTACTGCATGAAATATCCTTAAGGATACCTTCACAAAGTGTCAAGCCTTGTGCCACATAGCGTCCCACCTTTTTTGTGGTTTCAGAAAGTTTCAAAGGTTTTGAACTGCTTTAATTTTCCTTCTACATTGAGTCCACTTCGCTCTTGATCACTGTGATGTCCCCATCTTCGCTCACAGACAATTTTGTTGTGTCCATCTCCTCGACTATGAGATTATCGTTGATAATGGGATACAATTCAATGAAATAACTCTGACCACCCCACAGACAAATCTTTTCTTGCACCTTAAGTTAGGGTTAACGCTTGTCTCGGGATAAGTGATCATCCTTTGCAATCTCTTGTCTTATGAAATGACACGTCTTCTTGATCGAATCCTAAGAGTCAAAATCTTCTATTGGAGACCAATGCCATGTAATGGCCATGGTTGGCTTCCCCAGCAAGCTTTTCCCCTCAGTATAATCCACATTCTTGATGATGAAGCCAGTATCGAGGGAGAGATGTCATCTGCTTGACAATGCAGCTCTCGAAATATCTCCAAATCAATTGCGGAAAATTCCATACTGAGGACGTTTCTTCGTATGATAAGGATATATTCATTTTCTTAACATAGGAGAAAATTTGGTATTGGAAACAGTCCTCACTTGTTCTTATGCATTTTTGATAGGGATCGGCATCATTTGCAATATTATTTTGTTATGATTTATCGACGCAATTACCTTCATAGGAGCTTGATGCTAAGGATAAATATTCACCACGACACATGGGACTTTTATAACATTATATCGAGGTGATTTCGCGTTGTATCAAATATCTACTAATATAATTAGATTTTTTGTTTTTTAAAATGGTGAATAGACTTGAAGCCTTTTGGACCTTTAAAACTTTTGTTTGTTTTTGAGGGTCCAAAAAGATCCCATGAAGATGGAACAAATATCAAAATATGCATGTACCATATGTTGGTCAATTATCTATATTAGTATTTGCGAAATAAATTCGTCTGTGGTTTAACGCACAGATTTTTATGTCGTTTTGATTAATGAAATTCTAATGATTTGATTGGTTGATAATTGTTATAATTTGATTGGTTGGATTAGTTAATTTTAAATTATTAAACTCGATATTAGTTGCTCTAAAAATAGAAAACTTCTTTAATTCAAGTAAAAAGGGCCTGAGCCATAATCTCTTCTTTCAAATAAATTGGCCCAAATTTCAAACCCAAAAAAAAATATACATACCTTCCAATACGTCATTTGTGCTGATTGAGATGGTAGTGTGTTGGTTAAGTGCTTTGTCCATTTATCGAAGGTTCACGGGTTCGAATCCTGTGATTGGTTTTTTTTTTATTTTAATTCTATTTTTGGAAATATTTTGTATTTATTAAATATTTTGAAAAATGGGAATATTCCATAATTTCTTTGTTATTATCTAGAATGGAATCTTTACATTTTTATTATTAATAACTATGAAATTCATGGGAAGATAATATCGCATGTAGATCAATAATTACATTTTAGTATTTTTCACAAGAAAATAAACCCTAGGTTGTTTAGACGTATAAATATGAGCGTTTTCAACCAAACTTCTCATAATTAACGCATTAGTTTTTCTATTAGGGTTCTGTGATTATTTTGCTAGGGTTTTTATAATAGCATTAACTTTTTGGATCTCTTTAGAAAAGATTCAGCATGTTTGTCTATTTGCATGCAAAGCTAACAATGTGTTCGTCTAAGTACAGCTTTGATCATCCATCTAAAGTCATCATCACTTGGGAAGTTCCGTCTACCGATTCTGGTATATATGTATAACTATTATCAAATTTAATAATAGTATGTATGCTCTCAATTTTTTTAGATGAATTCTAAAAATTTATACGACTATAGGTTTTGATAACCAGGCTTATGCTCGCGGGTTAAAGTCTGTGTTGTAATCGCATCGTCAGAATATGGATAACAAAGACATGACTGATTATCGTTACGTGACTCCATATGTTTTCGTGGATATCACCAAAAAAAAAGGTTGTTGAACCTCTTTAGGTTGTTCATTCAATTTATAATACTTATTAGTAGTTGTTTGTATTTGTAGGTTATCCATGCAAGCTACTTATCGATTCTCCTATCGATGAATGGACCTTGCGGACATATAATCCTCTTATCGAAGGTAGTCCTGTCTATTAATCTTACAGTTTTTATCTTTTGTAATGCTATATCTTAGCCTTTCAGATGCATACCCTTATTATATATTAGTCTATGAACGTTTTCAATTTTTATGTAGATATTGATTCTTCGTATCATATATCTATTCTTGATCACGAGCTTTTTATCAAAGAAGGTATTTCCGCTCTTAATGTAATATTTTTGTTAATGGTGTATATTAAGTCTTTATGTTTGTTCTAATGTTTGTTTTGTGTATTTAGTTTCTGATCGTGTTAATACGAGTGATCATGCTCAGAAGACTTTTCTATGGGATTTTGCGAGGAATGCTTGGGTTATGAATAAAGAATCTAATGGTTTCAATTCTTTGTTTTTTGTTTTGAACACTTTTTTTTTTAGAATACTAATTACATCGTTTTACATATATTTATCTATGCAGAAGATAGTGACTCTGATGATACTGAGGTTTTATCGGGTCGTGGTACTGATGATGATTATGGTTTTGAGGATTATATGGGGTCTGATTCAGAGACGGGTGAAGATACTGATGATATGGACCAAACAGATGAGTATGATTCTGAGGATGATTTTATTGACGACGATGAGACTTGTGAAGAATCTGATGGTTCAAGTGATAGCTCAGAAGATGAACAGCGATGCTTATGAGGATAATGCAACATATGTTCGATTCGAACTTCTTGATGCAGGGTAAGATCTATGAGTTTATATCCATATGTCGTTTGTTTATGCAAAATAAAAAAAAAAATGTTTCGTTTTGGTTTTAAGACATCTAAACTGGAAGAACCTTTTTGTTCTGTTTTAATCAATTAGGAGAGATTGTGTATTGCCATGTATCGCCCGTGGGAATTTGGCTAAGAATCTGCATAGTGTTTATCAGCGTAATCAAAGTGAATCAGTGGTGTTTGTGCTGAGATTTTGGAAGATGACTAATGGTCAAGGTATGTTTTTATTCCTTTTTTAGTATTTTAGAATAGCTAATCTTGCATTCTTCTAATTCTGATTCGTAAAATTAATGATAGGTGTTGATAACAAGTCGGTTGTCCTATGCTCTTACCCTCCTTGCTCTGATTTCCTGTGTAATCCTGTTGATGACGAGATTGACGATTTCAAGGCTAAGTAATTATTAAATTTAATTTTTCTTTATTGACATATTTTGTTAGTTGATTTTTAGATATATTGATCTAACATATCGATTTTTTTTTTTTTGGTAGGCGATACCGTCTTAACTAATGCACCATCGATGGAATGTCAATTCCTTATCTTTCTTTTTAATGTTTGTAAGACTTTCATATTATGATACTTATTAAATGATATCGGTTGTTGTTTAATCTACTATTTTGGTTTGACTCTATGCATACTGCATTATGTCTTATTTATATTATGAATGTTATGAATGATTATGTCTTATTTATATTATGAATGTTATGAATGATATCGTTACATTGTCTTTAGTGTTTAGAATAAATTTGTATATCAATGGTTTTGTAGTGTTTTGTCTTTTTTGGTGATGTATGATGATTTGAAAAGTTGATTTTTAAACTATAGTCTACTCAAAGGGCTAAGTATTCATTGCGCTTTTGAAAATATACCTGACAACTTTCTGATAGATTTGAATAGATGGATATCTATAGTTTTTTTTTTCTTAATAATGTTCTGATTTGATTCTAAATCCGTTTGATGTAAACGATTTATTATGTTACATTTAAATTATATATCATCTGAGCCCAAAATTTGTATACATCTTATGGGCCAAAAAAATTCTGTTGTAACCAAAATTCGACCCTTCCTTTAACAAATAAATTGTGATGGTCTTGGATGGTCAAGAGGTTAGTCCTATAATTTATGAATATCTCGGTTATTGCCCTGATCTATTAAATTTATTAGTGATTAATAATGTTTTCAATATCAATCATATTGTTAATGTGTTATCTTAATATTTTCTAATTTTATTACGTATAATAATTCTTTCATCTAATTAAAGAGTTTTAAAATTCAAAATAACGAAAAAAGTCAAATAGAATTGTCAAACAAAATAAATGAAGACATCAAATGAAATTGGTAGATTCAATGGCTAGGGAAAATAGGTGAGTGATCAAAAAGTAGCCATCTTCAATGTTGTTAAAATCATCAGTGTAGTCAAGCCTGCAAGAACAAGATAAATAATGAGTCCAATATTCAATAATTTTGTTTAGTAAATTACAAGATGATAACGGTGAACAATGCTTACATAAAATGAGAATTTTCGATTTC